GAGACTTTCCTTTGGGAGCAGATCAGCCACTGACAGGCTGTAATTCTCTCAGGCTCAGAGGAATCAGGTCCACATTTGTGTAGTTCTGAGCTCTGCTGACATAACCATCTTCACGTAACGTCAGTTGCATCTGTATTGCTGGATGTTTCCTGGAACCTCAGCACGACATCACTTTGTCAGTTGCACCAGTGACCACTTCTGTAATTGTGTCCTCAGGATCTTGAAAACATTAAGCTTTGATCTCAGAACTATGTTTACCTGATTTTGTCTAATACATAATATACTTTTGTCTGCTTTTGTGTCAGTTCTGCTGCAGAACATATTTAATGGATAAGGTACTAGGCTTAGGATATAATAGGGATTATGTGGGATGCCTAAAGCAAGTAATGAATTGCAAGAACATTAATTTTTTTAGATCCCATGCTGACAGTGCAGGGCTTTTTTTCTTTTCTTAACCTGCATGCTGGAAATATGCCTGATAATAATTACGACAAGGAAATGAGGAGTCCCGTAATCCTTCCTGGTGCAATAAGAATTTAAGAAACAGTCATATGCTACACTGAACAGCAGTTCTCATAACAGTGTAAAATAGTGCTTCACTGTATTCTGATAGCTGGCTCTTCTAGTAAAATATTTATTCAATTCAGCAGGGTTTTAACTTTGCTTTCCAGGATGGCTGAGTATTATTTAGTGGTTGTTTAGGGCTGGGGAGGTAAAGATGATTCTCGAATCTGTTTTAATTTGAATCTTTCACTTGCCTCATAGGGTGTCTGTCAGCTGCCAGATAAAGAAGATGGAACTGCCTATCCACATCGGAGAATTGATATCCGGTACACGCACCAAAACCCCCAACCCAAATCCGTAGTTTAGCTGTCTGCTACCGAGTAGGCATTTGCATCAATTTTTGCATTCAAATCTCTACTTCCATGTTCAGAACATGGCATTTACTAGGTTTCTAATGCCTTTGCAGTGTGGCAGCCACTGGACAGCTGCCAGTAGCTACAACAGGTTATTAGCAGTAATGCTGTGCTTCAAATCCTGATATTCTATTCAGATTCAGAATTGTGTCCTATTTTATCATCCTGCTTTGACATTGATTCTCAGCAGGAGTGCAAGCACCATAAGCAGGTAGTGGCTGAACACCAGTAACTTCTGGGTAGGGGTAGATACGCTGAACCTTTCTTTCGCATGCTCACTCTCGCATCTGGCTTGTGGGCAAATTAAATGTACAGAATTGCCGAATGTAGACACAGAAATACAAAGTGTCTGAATGACTGAATTCTAAATGGCTTGTTACTTCTGTGTTATATATTTATTCTAAGTCTTCGCTTCTACTTTTTATTCTAGGCTAATCCCGAAAGATCAGTATTACTGTGGTGTACTGTATTTCACAGGAAGTGATATATTTAATAAGAACATGAGAACTCATGCTCTGGAAATGGGCTTCACAATCAATGAATATACAATACGTCGCTTGGGTGTTACTGGTCAGTCTGGGTCTTTGCACAGAGTATTCTTTCTAGTTACGTACTTTGTGTGATCTCCTTCAATTGGTTACGATGTTTTGGAAATACTTCTCATAAATGCTATAGTTTATGAAGTCTTTCAGTGTCCTTTTTGGTATTGGGCACCATTACGGAAAGAAGGGGCAGGGTACTTACATACAGGCAGCTCTGTGGCATAAAGTTACCTCTTTGGGCCTCCTAATCTACTTGAAGTCTTACTGATTTAAAGATTTTTTTTTCTGTGCCATGCACAGCACATGTTTGGTTCGTTAATTATCTTATTTCCTTTGACACTAATAAGAATCAGTATGTAAACCTTATCAGAATTTCTTGGAGGGTGGGGAGTTTGCTCTGGGTGGATTTTTTAGGTCTTTTACCTACAGCAGTTTTGTCATAATCTTACAATGCTTTTGGCATTTCTGAATGGTAGAGACTTTCAACCTTTCAAATAGCCTGTGTAATTTGCTTGCAGGAGTTGCTGGAGAGGCCCTGCCGGTAGAGTGTGAAAAAGACATCTTTGACTATATCCAGTGGAAATACCGAGAGCCAAAGGATCGGAGTGAATAACTAACTGCTTGTCTAGGTTTGTAGCCTAGAGAGATGTTTTCATAGCTTTTTAAGAACATGTGAAAGTGCATAGTCTTACTTTGGATGTTACTTGAAAAATTGCACATTACTGATGTTTAAAGCAAGTCCACGGCACTTGAACAGAACGTGTTGTGAAAATAAATCCTGTCAGATTTCATTTTCACATAATCACAGATTAATTTGGGTTGGTAGGACTCCCTAAATGTTGTGTAGTCCAGTCCCCCTGCCATGACCAGGGCCATCTTTGACTAGAGAAGATTGCTTAGAGCCCAGTCCAATCTGACCTTGAATGTTTCTGGGGATGGTGCATCCAGCATCTCTTTGTCTCTTATATACATGCAGATAATAGAATGAAAAAGCGAGCTATATCATGAAGTACTCCTAAAGAGTACCATTTTCAACTACTGTCTGTATCTTCTCATACCTGTGTTAAGTGCTGCAGCTTATGACGAGTTGTTTTGTGTACTTCTAAAATCTTTCAATATGGGCTATATGCTAAGATGGCCATTCTCCTATTGTATGTGACCTGTGAATTTTGTTACTAGGTATGTTGTATTGATTGCTCTGTGTTTTGTTCAGCTTGTAAAGTTTGGCCTGATTAATTGATGCACTGCTACCACTCCTGTAGATTCAATCTGCCCGTTTTTACATGCAAACCTGTCAAATCTTCCCCTTTAACTGCTGGGAAAGGTAATGGGTATTTTGGAAGTGAGATAAGGTCTCTTCAAGAATGCATTACTAGTTGTATTTGGGACAGGAATTCTGTTAGTTAACTTAAAACTTTTCAAAGTAGTAAACTATTGCTTCCATGTGTTACAGAGCATGAGCATTGAATGTATTGCTGCTACTGTATTTGAATACCTTGTAGCAGTAAGGCAACTGTAATACAGAACTGCAAGCTTGAAAAGATGAGACTTTTGTATGTAGTCAAATTGACTATTGCGAACAATATAATACTTCCCTTGGTTTCTTAATGCTTAGGTTCGCTATTGGCATCTATGAGGGCAGAGAGGATTTTGTATAGTTCGACTACTTAACTTGACCTGAATCATAAAACAGATGTACCATTTCTTATTTTCATCTCACTTAAGCTTGCAGAGCAACTACATTTTTAACTTGTCCTTATATAAGGAGAGTTGATTAATCTTAGTAATGGAGATTATAGGCTGATGCTCTTACTTATCCATTTATTTTCTTTTCTTGTTAGGAGTTTTAATTATTTTCTGGGAATGTTCTCCAATGCTAATGCATGCAGTAGTATGTAATGAAAAGAGGTTAAGTTGGTACTATGTGAAGTTTTTTGATGCCTCATTGTAAAAATATACATAGTTGATATATTTAGTGTTTTCTTCAGTAATCAGTAGGAATAAAAAAATTTATTATTCCATCATGAATGTGTAATGGGGTTTATTACTTTATTAGCTGAAATTTTAGAAGATCAAAAAGCATAATACGTTTGCCATGTTTCCTGGGCAGCACACAGCATTACACTGATGCGTTCTCCATCATCTTCAACAGGTTGCCCAGAAAACAACTTTGTCTTGTGTCAGGATGTGACACTGATGACTGGATTCTTTTCCCCAAGACTGAGAGTAAGGAGACAGAGGCTGTCTTCTCGTGTTTGGACTTGGCTATTTATTCTTTTCTTATCTATGTTTCATATATACAGAGTACAAGGAACTATAATACACTAAGAAAGGTGCAAAATGGCTAATGAAGAACCTCTTCAAGGTCTTTTATGTCTATTTGTCCAATTAACAAATGCCAAGTAAATTATTTTTCTTAGTGACCCAATGACCCGACACCTGTGTGCTGCACTCTGTGGCATCTTCTATCCAATCACTTATTATTACCCAAAAATCCCTAGAAGAAGATGAAGAAGGAGAAAGGGACAACACCCAAAGTCCTCCATCTTGTCTTGTTTTCTAAAATAGCTTGAACCTTAAACTTTCTTACCCAGTGACTTAAGAAAACTCTCTTAACTTACACACTTACATTCCCAGTTTCTCTACTTAACAGCTGTCTCCCTGATATTATGTGAAATTTTCTTTCTTGGGTGTCAGAGTCAGGTATCACAGATAAGGGCACATTTCCTGTGCCTCTGACCCCAACAGTCTTCGGCCTTGACACGGAATTTGTTGGCTTTGCAGTCTCTCTCCATAATACTGTGAATTCTTCTATGTGAAAAAAAAGAAAAAAACTTCTTCAGAGAGCTTGCTTGTTTTTTGTGAGTTATATAAATATACATTGTGTCTTTTTTTCCCTCTCTCTCTCCACTCCCTGTATCTCAGTTGTCTGGCTTTTCTTCTAGACTTGTACTAGACTGCAAGATATCTGGTAATCATGTGAGGCAATAGCTGTGAACCTTGTCACAGGGAATCTGTATAATGTCTTGTTTGGGTGCACAGACAACCTTATTTATGTGCAGAGTAACAGTTGGGCTTTGTCAGCAATACTGGCTGCACCATTCTGTCGGTGTTTGGTTTTGTCCCAATTACCGAGCCTTACCTTAAGATTGGGTGGGCCTGTCTCCTTGCTTTGATTCAGGGCTATAGTGGCCTTAAGGGGTTTGTCTGTGCTCAAGTTCCAAACGGGGATGACAAGGAATTAAGGAGATTTGTTAATAAGGTAGGTAGGTGAAGGGTTTGAGAGGGCCTTTAGTGTGTCCGCTGGAGTCTCATACGGACTCCGACGGGCTGCGTGAGGCGGGGCTGCCCCTTACCTCGGCACTGAATCCTTCGTCCCTCCGAAGCACAGCTTTGTACCGGCGGCCGAGCCCGGAGAAGGCCGAAGCGCGCTCCTGCGCGTGCTCCCGCGACGCCGCCAGGCCGTGACCGCGCGCGGGGCGGAGCGGGGCCGCGCGGCGGAAGCCAGCCTGGATGGGCGGGGCCGGAGCCGGGGCGCGTGCGCAGGGGTGGCGCCGCGCATGCGGGGGTGGGGGCGCCGAGAGCCGTACCGGAGGCAGCGCGGGCGGCAGGTAGCGCCGGGGCCGCGGTGGGGGCCAGGGCCGTGCCGGGCCGGGTGGGATCGGGTCCCGCGGCGCTTTCTGGATGGAGCCCGTTGCTGCCCTCTGGGCCTCACCGAAGCCGAGGCGGGCGTCCCCTGAGTCACCTTGCCGCGGCGGGGCTGGGCCAGAGGCTCGAGGGGGCGTCGGCCGATCGCTTCGGTGGCAATTCCCCGTCCGCAGGCCCACGGGCTGCCGAAAGGGCAGCCCCGGAACGCGGGCCAGCTCTGTCTCTGAGACCGGGTGGCCGGGGGTCTTGCCAGACGCTCCGGTTTCTCGGCCGGGAGGCACGAACTTTTCGGGCGGCTGTGCCCCAGTGTTCCCACGGCGCCGGCACTTCGCCGGGGAGAGGAAGAGGCGGCGGAGCGCGCCCGCTCCGTTACCCGTTGCGTAACGTGGGCAGTGCCGGGGCAGGGGCGGTGCTCGCGCTCCTGGGGCCGCGCAGCCGCCGCCCCTCAGCTCCCCCATCAAAGGTGCGTGGCGGTGGTTGTGGGCAAGGCCCCTCATCTGTAATGAAACATGAAACCGGCCATTCGGTTATTGTTGTTTCTTTGGGGGTTTTTTTAGGGGTTTGTTTGTTTGTTTGTTTTTTCAGTTGGTTTGGTTTTTTAGACTTATTCCACAGACCCATGCGTGTATTCTTGTGTTTCTTTTCACACTTCACACTGTGTTTCGTTGGCTGTTGCCATTTCATCTGGTTGATTCGAATTTAATGTTAAGAGCTGTGAAACCGAGATCGATTCCTCTAGACAAGTCTGTTGTGCAAGTAGAGCTGCTTGTTAGCAAAGAAATTATGTGTTTTGGTAAGGTCTAACCTTGAGCATCTCTTTTTTTTCAATACTGTTTAAATGCTTGCATAAAATTTAACATTTGAACACATAGAACACAGAAGATATAGCTGCATAATGTAAAGAAAGGGAATAGGCTCACAATTCCAAGATGTCTCAGTAGCCTTGTTAAAATGAGGTGTAAGTACAAGAGATTATCACTCAAAAAGGTGAGATTTAGGTTGAGAAGGCACTGATCAGGACGGTAAGGTCCTCCTTCAGGTATTTTCAGTGAAGCTGCTGTGGAGAGCCCCAAGACTACTGAGCACTGTTGTCATTTGTCTCTCTAAAGCCCATACCCATCTGTGCAGGGAGGCAGAAAGGCTTAAGAGGCAGCCAAGCAAAGCATGAAAAATGTAGAGGGGTGGCATGTTTTCAGAAACTGGAGTGAGGGGTTATTATTTAAGCGCTCATTTGATGTAAAAATCTCAATGTAATTTGAAAGTTAGAATAGACTGATGTCTTTCAAACTCTGAATTGGTCAGTCCCAACTCCCAGATTATGTTGTGGTTTACCACCAACTATTATGAAGCTTTCAGGTTATGTGGTTTAGAGGCCAGCTACAAATCCATTATCATTGTGTTCTGTAATGTTTCCGTGGGCTCCAGATCCTCTAAACCCACAGGTATGTATAGAACCATAGAACATCCTGAATTGGAAGGAACCCACAAGAACCACTGAGCCTGTGTACTGACAGATATCTGCTGCAGGTTAGTTATTAAGTCACCGAACAAAGAGTTTGTATAGTATGCTGTGTACATTGCCCAAGTGCTTCATTTTAGGAACGGCTGGCTGTCTGAAAGCAGGACTGTAGTGTTGCATTTGTGACAGGGAAACTGAGTACACCAGTAAGTGACTAAAATGGTGGAGGACAAGTGATAACTTAAATACTTCCACACATTTTGTTCACCTCATTACTTTTAAGATTAGTCTTTCATATAAACAATATGGGGGATAAACAAATGGGGGAGCAGAGATTTCTGGTGTTGGGTATCGCAAAGAAGAATATGAACAAATGCATCAGCAGTAGGAATGGCAAAGAATTGCCCGTAAAATTAAATGAAAGCAGCATCTTTGAAAGCTCTTCTCTTCTGGAGCAGGTGTGCCTTTACATTTATGCAGATTTATTTTAGAAGAGGAAGACTAATTTTTCTCTGGGAAAGAATTTGCCTACTTCTTTACTGTGGGCTTTCTGATGCAAAATCCCTAAATTGTGATAACTAATGAAGTGTATCATCTACACTGCAATATTACATGCCCATCCTTTTGAACTTTGTCCTCTTATGTAGTTGTAACAGTATTAGGAAATGTACGCCATTAGCAAATTTAGGTTTTGCTGCTCTGTGTATGCAGTGCACTGATGGCTACTGGACAGTGTACAGAGATCTCTTTTATATTTTCCAAATCTCTGGAAAAGCTTTCTATGAAATCACAAGTGCAGATGGAAGTGAGATCTGTTTTCCTTTAGGAAAGGACACCTGTTAGGTGTTGATGTCGTTTCCCACTTGGCGTCCCTTTCAGAATGGGTCCTGTCACAAAAGCAATGTTTCCTCATTACTAGAACAGCAATAAGACTCCTATGAATTCTTTCTGCAGTGTAAAACTGTGAGGCCAGCATATATAATTGAATGTAATAGCTGGGGTTCAGCGATTGTGTATAACGGATTAAATTCTTTGAATTAAATTGACAAAGCTGCAATGATGACTGATGAACATTCTTCAAAGATCTTACAGTTTTGTATTGGTGAGGTACTCGGAGACTACTAATCATAGACATTTATTAATGCTTTTGATATAGTTTAGATTTTATGCTGTTGCAGCTAAGATTTTTACAGCTTCCCATATGTTTCAGATCCAATGGCTGTCCCACCGTCATACTGTGACTTGGGAAAGTCTGCCAGGGATGTTTTCAACAAGGGATATGGTAAGTAAGATGAGGATCACCTTCCATATTTTTTTCCTTAGGCATCTTGAAAACGCCTGTAAGAACATGAATACATCAGAGATTCTCTAATACCTTATGGCAGAAAATCAGCAAAGCCGTGGAGCATCTAGTGCCTTCTGATTCTGAACTTTGGATGTGCGTTATGATAGTACTGCACTGGTGGAGAGTTTGAGGGGCAGGTTACAAGTTTGACCTTAACAATATGCGCTCCAGAACAGTCTGAAAAATGCTGCGCCCTTTATTTACCTTCTTATTTTTCTATTTAAAGTCATTAAATCAGGTATACTAACATAGATTGCTGTAGGAGATCATATGTGGCAATAAACAAGTTCCTGAGGAAGAGTGATCTTTATGTTAATTGGAATAGCCTATTGTTTAAGCTGGAGTACAAATATTTTCACAGTCCATGCATTTGTCCCTTTTCTGGCAACTACTAGGAAGTGTTGATTTTTTTTTTTTTAATCTGATTTTGAAATTGTCAGTAAAGATTTCATTTGTATCCCAAATCCATATACTGCATAAAACTAAAATGCACTGTGGTCTGGAGTTCAGGCTTTGCTAAAATCAACTCAAGTTCCATGCTTTATTGTCAGTTACTTCAGGCTTTTCTATTTAGTGCAAGGGCCAGATATTTCCCTAGATTCAGAGCAAACAGAAAAGGAAGAAAGCAATAGTACTTTTGTATATGGCACTGATTGAAGTAAGTTGAAACGTATGTTTTTTGGATAGAGGAAAAGAAAAATTTCTTGCCCTGTAATCAGAAATAAAATGTAAACTATATAAATCAGAAGAGATGGTTAACCATATTGATGGGTCCCAGACTACAAGTAGCTACAGAAGGTGGAGATACTTGATAGTTGGTGTCTGTTATAAGTTATTAGGCCACTTACTCTGAGTTGTCAAAATTCCTTCAATCATCCATCTATAATCCTTGTAACCCTCAGTATGATCAACAAGTGTTTAAACATGAAAATAGGCTGTTTCAGGTCAGTGTACCCTATCTGGCATACTTTGGGTATGTTGGAAATAAGCCTTGTTTGCATCTTTCAGTGAAACAGGCCCTGTGTGCTATTTTATTTTCAGGATTTGGAATGGTCAAGTTAGAGCTGAAGACCAAGTCTTCTAGTGGAGTGGTAAGTATTGAGGGCTTTCAACATCACCAGCATAGCAGTGGAAGGACAAATTCCTGAACTGGTAACAAGTATTAACTTGCTGGCAGATGTGGCTTCTCTCTTTCATTTCTCATTTTAAGATTCATAACTGACTGAGATATTTCTACAATAGTACGTAGCTGATGTAGCAGTACTTCTTTTCCTGTGGCGTGCAAAAATTTTCACATACCTTGTTATTTTCCTCCCTGTTCCATTGACACATCCCAAACATGAGTTTCTTCACCTTACATAGCTCTCGTTTCTGCTTAGGAATGCAATTGAGTTTCCTGGCTGTTACTAGTTTTCATGGGATTTTTAGTCCAGAGGGACTTTTATCAAAAAGGTCAAGGGACAAATAAGCACCAGAGTTTAACTTAACTGCATTTTCACTCATTTCTACTGTGCTTAAACTGCAAGATCTAATTAAAACTGAAAACAGTCCTTCTGCAGTACCCTATATGTACAATTTGAGAGCTTAAGTAAGCTTTAACATTCCAAGTAACAAGAATATTCTGTGATCCCCATTTTAATGATGGAGAAGTGGAACTCCCTTGCAATTTCACAGGAGGGCTGGCAAAACCAGGAATCGCTGTCATAATTTTGGTCTTTAACCACAGGCATATATTATTTACTCGATAATATTTTTCTTATGCTCACTCTGAGTTCTGCACGTCTTACTGCTCAGTGTCGTTCTGATTGGTAAAATGAGCTGCTTTTCAGCCTACTTGGTAACTGTATTTGCCTGAGTTCCCTCCTTTTCTTGCATTCTTATTGTGCAAATGGTGCAGGTCCTTACTTTTGTCTTACTGTATTCTGTCTTAATTGAGCTTTTGATGATTACTTTCATTGTGCACCAGGAACATGTGAGCATGAGGAGCTATGTGGTCTCCATACTGTGGCTGCCTTCACTTACTGACATCTCTTGATAGGCAGTTTTCCTGGCTGGAAGTTTTGATTCTCAAATAATATGCTAATAGTTAATTATGCTGTCTTCTGATTGTGATGGAACATGAACAACTGTATTAAGTTCTAAAATGGGCTTTTTCTTTTCCATGCAATTTTCTTTGGATGTTTATCCAGTTGGTAAGAATAGTGACTATTTTGACATGTTGGCTCTTTATTGCTTTGTCTGACAAGGCTTTCTGTGCTGCATACTAAGTAATTTTTAAACTGCTGAATTGTTTTTAGGCATGTTATTATTCATGTTGTACAGTTTGACTCTGTCCATAGCTCTAGATCTGCTGCATGATCCATGCATGTAAAGCCATTTGCAATCTTTGTCCAACAATCCACAACAAGAACACTGAAAAAACAGCAAGAGGGAAAACAAGATCAATATGGTATCGGTACAGTTGTCTGTTGCTTCAGGTTTTGAGCTTGTGTGTGTTTCTGATGAGGATTCTGTTGCAACAATATAGAGTTTTGGGGATGAAGATGAAGTTAGGAATGAAACATGAGATCTAATTCATACACAGATACTGATAGTACCTCCGATTGTTACGACTCAAACATTTGGGTGTTTTTCTCATGAACTTTAGAAACAACAGTGATACCTGTAGACATAGAAAGCCGCAATGACAGTGTCTGTTGATTAGAACCGTTTCATAGATTGCAAGTGGTTTTGCCTACTAAGTGCGTGGCATTCCTGTAGATGCTGGGCACCATAAACTAAAAATACAATCAGAAACTCTGCTTAACTGCTGATGCAGACTGGTGTGTGACATGGAGCCAGAATGAGTTTGATTTTTCAGCTACAAAAAATTAAAGAAATTATAGTTTGGTGAGATGTTCTGGTTTACACAGATAAAGACTGATGGCTGCAGACTTCTGCCTCTGTGGCTTCTGCTTCCAGAAGCAGACTGAGTTCTTGATGCCTGACAGAATGCTTTGGCTTTTGATCATATGACAATGCAGGGTTTTTTATTTCCTTTGGCTTTGAGACAAGTGTTTACAATCTGTCCTTTGCTTAATCTGAGAAAGAAACCAAGCTTTTTTAATCAATTACCTGTTCTAAGATAAGACAAAAGTTACTTCTGAATTCTGATGCAGGTTTGAGATGTCTTTACACTAAATTTGTGGAAGTGACATTAGAACACTGTATAGCAATTATGTCTTAAGGCAGTCTAAACACATCCTGACTTTTGTCACATGTTTTTGTTAGCTGGCTAGATGTGTTACAGTAACTGCTATGCTGTTGTAGTAGTGCATCAGCTTGTCCCTTCCTGCCCCAGCAGCATCCCTCATTGCCCCAGACTCTGTGTAAGGAATCTGACCTGGCTCCCTAGCACTTCTCAACCACTTACAGACGGTCTTTGTATCCTTGTATGCTCTGCAAAGTCCAGAATTGTGAAAGTAATGTACGTCCAGGAGTACAATCCTGGAATGAGAAGGATCTGGAAAGTCAGGGTTCCAAAGCTTGGATATGTTGGGAATGGATCTTGCTGTCTCTTAATCACTATACCGTTCAGTATTTAAACTTCAAGAGAGACAAAACTTTTAAATGTAGTGACAGATTATTTATCTTCCTTCAAGGGAAATATTTGAGAGATGAGGATAACAAATGAGAGAAGTTCTCAGATGCTTCTTAAAACCTAACTCATACACCTTGAGTTTGCTACTGTGGCAATATACCTACTCAGTGCTTAATACTTAGCTGTGCATGAAACACTGAGTAGACTGCCTCTTGAGCTATTCCAGGAGAGAGGTATATTGAGACTTCAAGTCCACTAAATAACAGGAAGCTCTGATGTGTGGAGCACTGATTGAATAGCATATTACAAAATACATGTTACACAAAATGCAAAGTTGTTGGTTCCATTACACTACTTGGTGAAAGACCAGCCTGACAGAGACGTCAAGGTGCTGGGTTCAGGCTACTTCCGGATACTGTAAAGGAGAAAAGGTCTGCAATTTGAAGGTGCCTTATGAAGGGTGACTTAGCTTCTGAAGTGGAGTTACTGGCTGAGTTAAGGAAAGAGAAGTTGTGGGGGAAGGTACTAAAGTCATCACCATAGTATATGAAGAGTCTAAATGACAATATCGTAAATGGTAGGGGGAACCAAAATGTTAATCCACAATGTTAGGGTGCAGTAGTCTGTATGAAAAGCATCAGTTCTCCTGAAAACATTTTCACTTCTGAAACAGGGGAAAAAATTACTACAATGAAGAAACACATGAGGTGTTTGGAGAAATATGAGAAAAGACTCTTTTTTTCTTCCTGTTATTCTTCTAACAATGTAACTTGAGTGTAGGATTGCTTTTGTTAAGGGGGAGCAGATTTCCAGGACTGCAACAGGTGCTTTTTCATCCACAATCGGGCCAGTACTACTAAGATGATAAAAGTAATTAGAGAAGATTGTGAAGAAAAATATGGGAATATATACTGTGTTGCATCCCAAGCAAGCATCTTTTTATATCTGGGAATGGAGTCATGTGAAGGTACAGAGCAAATTGTGGAATGTTGAAATAACTGCCATTTTTGGCAGTGAAAGTCACAAAAATAATTTTTTGATGGATAAGCCTGGAAAAAAGTATGGTTAAAGTTAAGATGGGGAAGAGGAAGTAATCAAATCCCATGATGAAAAGTAAATGAGGGTGTTGGATCTTTGTGTAATAGGGCTTCTGCCAGCCTAGGCAAGTTCCAAAGCTCTATCAGTACACCTCAGTAAAAGAAATATTCAGAACAGAGATGCCAGAACGAGTAGCATTTTGTGACACAAAGTAAATTATTTTAGGTGGAGATAAGGAAGAGGAGGATGATGATTTTGAGGGTTCTGTCAAAAGGCCTAAGGGTGTGAGTGCTGGCACTTGACAAGTGGAAAAGCTGAATGTAATTAAAGAGTGCTGAAACTCGTGACCCTGTGATTAGCTCCGCTGATGAGAGCGTGGTGGCTAAAAATGCCAAGCTTGTGGGTTTGATCTCCGTATGGGCCATTCACGAAAGAATTGGACTCTGTGATCCTTCTGGGTCCCTTCCAACTCAGTCTGTTTTGTGATTCTGTGATACTGTGCTCTTGACAGGAGTTCACTGCAACCGGTTCTTCCAACACAGACACAGGCAAGGCTTCAGGCAGTCTGGAGACCAAATATAAGGTCAAAGACCAAGGACTTACATTCACCCAGAAGTGGAACACAGATAACACGTTGGGAACGGAAGTTTCTGTTGAGGATAAGGTAAGACCAAGTAGATACTTTGGAAATGTTTCTTCAGCTGGTATGAAATAGTATTGAGTCGAACAGAAAACAGTGGAGAATGAAAATTGCACAAAAGTATGTGGAATATTTGAAGAAGTTACATTTATTTGCAGAACACACAGGCTGGGAGTGGGGAGTGCTGGCATTCTCAGAGCCATGTGCTGCTAGGTAATGATTTGAGTATGTACAATTACTGCAGTTACTAGGTGTGTGGAATTACCTAGCTGGTTGAATGAACCTAATTATGTAGAACTGTCACTGCTGCAGTCAGGCAAGGAAGCCAAAGATGGGTCTCATAATTTTAAATGCTTTAATGTATAAGAACTCAAGTTCGGCTGCCTTGAGATAGAATATATTTTACAAGGTTGAAGAGAAAGATGAGTGTTTACAGCTTGGAACTGCTTTTACAGAGGGTTGTTAGCCAACAGCACTCTCAAAACACGGTTCTTTTGGACATTAACAGGTTTATGCTTTTCACTTAATGCCTCTAGTATAAGGTAATGATACCAAAGATAGTAAAAGTTCTATGGTGGTCTGCCACATATGGCCATTCATGCTTGTACTTTTACCTGTGCTTTAAAATGGAAAATGCTGTCTAGCTAGAGGGGAAAAATGAGATGGGTATGTGCTTTGGCCAGCCAGTAAAGAAGTACTGTGTCTTAACAGAGTATCTGTAATTATGAGAGAGATGTTTGGGCTACTCTTCGAACTATAAAGAATACGCAAACATGAACTGAGTAGTTTTCTTTCTATCGTTATTTTGTGAATAATTTTCTTGTCAGCACTAGATGTGTCATCTTCCTGCATGTAAAAACATACCTTCAAAGTCTGTGCTGTTAAAGGACTTCATTGTGGGAAGAAAAAGTCCTATTTAAATCCTTCATCGTGCAGCATCCTCAGATGTTGTTATAAATCATGAGGGACACATTATGCTATCTGGTTTTCTCTTTAGACAGGAAGTAGAGTTCTAGTAGTAGAATATAACAAATTATGTTTCAACCGATTTTTGAGCAGATGTGTTTTCTTTGCAGTTCGCTACAGGGTTGAAGGTGGCTCTTGACACTACATTTGTACCAAACACAGGGTAAACATTTTCTATTACCTTTATCTAAGCAATGCTAGAATTTCCACTAACTTCTAAACGTACTTACTCTGTTCATTGTGTAAAAGCCCAGCATTTATTGGAGAAGATTCTGCAGTCACTAGAATCTTCTGCAGACAGGGGATAATACTTAACTCAGAAGGACAAGTTCTGCTTGAAAGCATTCTTCAGCTTTTTGGCCAGTGGCAAATTTGTTGTTTTGCTGTTAGGTACTAGATCTCTCACTCTCCCCTTAAACAACTACGTCTTCATGGTGTTGACAGTCCTAAGGCTGTCAACTCAGTAAACCTTTCTTTTTTTTTTTTTTTTTTTTTTCCTGATGTTTTTGGCCAGATGTCTGCACAGTTGAATGAGAAGGTAAAATGGGCAGTGGAATAGGACTTAGCTGTCTTTCTCAAGTCTCATGTGATTAAATTTGGTAGAGCAAAGAAGGGGTGTTTATTGAGACTGCTCTGCAATAGTGACTGGTATTAATTTACTGTTGGGGAGAGCCTGTCAGAAGAATCCTGAGTTTGAAATACTGCTTGGATATGAGGAATTAGAAGCTAAGTCAAAAATGAGACCCCAGGCCTACGTGTGAGTGACAGGCAGCACAAGTGTTCTGCTGTGTCTTGAGTGGAAGAGAGAGGGAGTTGGGGAGAGAGTTAAAGAGGTGAAGTTTTGTTGTAGTTGTGTTTGAATTGGTAGCAAGATCAACAAAGACATGCATTGGAGAGAGGAAGAGGTATCACAGGAGGGACAGAAAAAGGCAGACTAAGTGGATGCTGTCTGGAGGATGCAGAAATCTACTTTTGGTAGAGGAGACTGGTACCCAGCAGTGAAGAAAGGAAAGCAAGTACTGCACAAGGAAGGAACAGTGGAGAGAACAAATAGGCAAAAATTCATTGAAAGACAGCTGTTGCTGCAGGTTTATGGATGCTCCTGAAAGAAACTGAAGATGCCGTAACACATTACACAAAAAAAAAAATTGAAACCAGATGCGTGTTAAAGCATTAAGGAGAAACAATTTTATCTTTCTTGCTTCTTGAGGATTTTAGGGAGTTTGAGGTGATAGGGGGAAACGTGACACCATGTGAATATATGTAACACCGTTGTCCTTGCCCTGTGCCCTCTTCAGCAGCAGTTAAGCTTTGCATAGGAATTACAGTAGTTTCATTAACTAGCCTTAAAGAGATACATATTGGAATAAAACTACATGTATTACATACTTGTATACTACTGTGGATAAAACAGTGTGTTTCTCTCTGCAGGAAGAAGAGTGGAAAGTTGAAGACCTCCTACAAAAGAGAATATATACATCTAGGCTGCAGTGTAGACATTGATCTCTCTGGACCAACCATTTATGGCTGGGCAGTGTTGGGCTTTGACGGCTGGCTTGCTGGCTACCAGACGGCTTTTGATACAGCCAAGTATAAGCTTTCACAAAATAATTTTGCCTTGGGATATAAGGCAGGAGACTTTCAGCTGCATACTTATGTGTAAGTACCACCTGAGCCTAGAAAAACGTTATCAGAGGAGCTGAACTATAGGGAATAGTTAGCAGTAATGGCCTTAGGTCAAAGGTGGGTGAAGGAAAGGGGATGCCGATTTGTTTCCAGTTAATTTATATTCAGTGTTTTCATTTCCAGTACAACTTCCCAACTCTTGGCAGTCTTGATACCTTGTTTCTGAGCAATTTTGGGGTTTGCATATCTAAGAGGGTGATGTTAATGCACTTTATGGTCATCTGTAATTAAAAGCAGTGTGCTTTAATTTCTGTTATGGCACAAGACAAAAAAGCCTTCAAGTAAACTACTGTACCTTCCCCTCTCCATCAGACAGGAAATTTCACCCTCAGAAATGCCCAAGGTGACGGAGAAAGGCATGTGTATCATTGTGTTTGTTTCCAGCTTTCATCACTGCATAGCTCTAGTCTTGGTATTCAAATGGCCTGAGATGCTTGGAACAGCAAGATGGTGTATTTAAACAATTGTAATGCAACAACATTGTTTTCAGTCTTCTCATTCCCATAACCAAAGTCTCCTTTATGTGTTACTTCACACTGACTTACTTAAGACAAGTAACCAGGTTATCTGGGTGGGTTGTTTTTTCTATGTCAGAACCTCAAACTGTATGTCTGTGGCTGTGGGAAAGTCTTGTTCCAAGCAAAACATGTTTTGTGGAAAAAAATAGCAGCAGGAGTCTGCCAGCTCCAGCTAGGAAGTAGTGAGCCTGGGTTCAAGGAAGTATTGGATCTCTTGGTTCATTTTAGGAGATAATGATCAAATGATTGTGGGGAAAGGTTAATATAAAGAGTTACTATAAATAAGGCAAGGCTTGACTCGCTTGCATCTATTACAAACAGGAATGATGGCACTGAGTTTGGTGGGTCTATTTATCAGAAGATTAATAATAAGGTAGAGACATCAGTCAATCTCGCATGGACTGCTGGCAGTAACAACACACGTTTTGGTTTTGCTGGAAAGTACCAAGTGGATGAGAAGACTTCTGTTGTGGTAAGAATTTTGTTACAGAAATGAGTATTTCAAGCTCCCCTAAAAACTGAAAATTTGTGTTATAAAGCAATCACTTTAACTAGTTACTGAGGAAGTACGGTAGATTGCAAACTATAGCTTTTGTTGTGGTTCATATTTAAAATTTGAAATTGGTACTTCACACATCATTCTTTTGAAATTATGGGGGAAAAATCTAAAATAAAATTTTGTCCATATGCAATAGTCTGACTAGTGTGCTTGGAATAATACTGTGCTGGTGTACTGCAAAACGTGTTTTAAAAGGTAATGAAAAGACACAGTGTCAATTCTTAAATCCATAATGTAAAACTGTGTTATAGTTGCAATGGGGTAGGTTTAGCTGAGCTTACAGCCTTCTCCTGAAAGTAAGTTAACCCTTGAAAGTCAGCTGACGTGTGTTTTAATACTAAGAACCGAAGTAGCAAGCATTTATGGACCATTGAACCAAAATCAAAGATGAGAAATAGTATTGTAAACAGCTCAGTAATACAAAAAGGGGATTGCATATTCCTGTATTTCTTGCTCATTAGAATAAAAAAGAAAATCACTTCTGAGTGATTTTAACAAGACAGGCTCTGAGGGACTGTAATTAGTAGCTATTTAAAGGATATAAAGACATAATAGAGGAAGCAATGAAGAACAGCATGGCATTTTGTGTAAGCAGAATTTGACCACCATTTCCTTAAACTGGAGACTCCTGAGAAAAGATTAGGAACATGCTTCTAATAGAGGTTGGTCTACAAGTAACTGAAGAGCATTAGCATGCATAAGCCACCTTCTCAGGGCACTGGGGACACTTCTGTATGAATACTTAAACACAGTTTATAAATACCATGTTGTTTTTTTTTTCTTGTAGGCTAAAGTGAACAATGCCAGCCTCATTGGAATTGGTTACACTCATGCCCTCCGACCTGGTATGTAATTCTCACTGGTGGCAGCAGATAGTATTAAATACTACACTATGTTTTCATTTACTGTCATCTTAAGAACAGAATACATGAACAAAGGAGCTAGAAGTCTTTACACAGACTCAGAAAAGTAAAGGATGTCTATGTACACAAGTTCCTGTAGCAACTAAGCCACATTACTGAGGTCAAGTACCTGAGGGAGAGCACTGTACAGGGATCTCAGTGTATGATGGTTCTCATGACTTGCTTTTGTAGGTGTAAAGCTGACCCTCTCAGGCTTGATTGATGGCAAGAATTTCAGTGCTGGAGGTCACAAAATTGGGCTGGGATTTGAGCTGGAAGCTTAACACAGCTTTAAGTAAAACAACTGGTGGTGCTCTGGAAGATGAAGGAAAAGTGTACCCAGTGTATTTCAGCCTTAATATTACTCTGAAATTTGAAGAAGTGTGAACTTTCTGCTCTTCCCAAGAATGACTTTAACCCAATGTTGAAGTCCAGAGTGTGCCAGCACAACAAAGGAAGACACCTGAAGGCATGCATGGAAGTTGTGATGTTTGTGCCACATTTTGGTTTCCTGTATTTTAAATCTGTTCCAAAAAAAACCAGAAGAAACTTCAACCTCTCCCCATTACTGTATTGCATTTTGCATGTCCTGTACTTCACAGCCTTTTATAAAAGGAGGTCTCTGTGCTGTAGTGGAAATTTGGGGTTACATCAGAATAAAATAAATTGCTCACGGTCAGAACAGAAGGTTGGTGTGTGTTGACTTGCACCAAGGTTCCATCCAGCTTGGTTTTTTGGGTTTTTTTTTTGTTTTTTTCTTTTCATGCAACTTTAAGTATGGTTAATAGATAATCTGCCAATGCTTTGTTACACGATACCTGTACACTGAAGATTTCCTTCTCCTGTGGTTTCTAGGATAACATTCTTACACCTCTCACGTTTTAGTGACCTGCACAGTGAAAGCAGCTTTTTCCACTATAATGTTATTAAGGGCATCAAAAAGAGCAAACCAAAAGTTTACATGTTTTAGATAATTTCGTTCCCACATAGGAAACAAGTATTAGATAAGTACAACCATTACACTTGAAGGAAAAAAGTGCAAATCAGCAAAGTTTAGAAATTAAGTTCACAGTTCATTAGGAAGGCGACATCTACCAGTGACTGGGTATACTGTTGTTGTTCATTGTTCATTAGAAAGCCTAAAATGCAGCAAAACAGCCACAAGTGATGCCTAAGGGAAAGATATATCAGGACAGAATATCTGCTGTCTTAAGGCACAATTAAGAACATTTTCCAAGCAGTTAGAACAGGCATTCCCTAATGTATCATTGTGGAAAAGTGTGGACACTAAAAGCTAGGCCATAGGTATAACAGAGCAGTTGGTGACAGTAGAAGGCAGTTGATATTCCCTTCTCAGAGGCAGCAGCTTTTCACAGTTGGCTTCCCAAAGTAGCATGGCTTCAGAGGCAACCAAAGTGATTTTACATCTGGGTTTGTTCTGGACTGTTTGTTTCTTCTACCTGAAACTGCAGCCAGCTCCAGTCTAGAGCCTAGAGAATAAACCAAGTTCAACACTAGCTTACAGTTGAGTTTTCTCTAGAATAAATGAGAAGCATGTTAAGAGTTTTAAAAAATTTACTGTGAACAAGTTGGTCAGTATAATTTCATGATGAGCCACGTGACTGCTGTCAAGGAAAACACTTCACCTACTTGCACTCGCTAGTAATTTTTAGTATTCTGCATCATTAAATTAAGCATACCTGCCCACCACTGTACTGCCACCCGATCATGCCAAATTTACATGCAGTTTTGCAGTATTTTCGTACAAGAGTCAAGTGCTTTGCCCCATCCTTTACTGTTCAGCACAAGTTCCCAGCACATGGCTCCCAGTCTTGGCAAGCAAAGGATGTCAGTCAGCAGATCATGAGGGAACAGGTGCTTCCTATCTGCAGCTCCTGCTTTCCCCTTGTCCAAGAGTAAATTGCAGATTTCAATTAGCTGTATTAGTGGTGGCAAAGTTGCACAAGCACAGCTTCAAACCAATGCACTTCCCCCGTCCATTTATAGAACAATGAATACATTACCAAGAAACTCTGCTCTTGATCCTTCATTGTGTCATGCATCATGTTTTCTAGTTGGCTACAAAGTTTCCGAGATTCCAGCAATAGCTCCTCACTGGAAGGGACAATTATTACACTATTAATTTCTATGACAGTGTAAAGAGCTGCTGCCTCTATTGTTAAGAAATATTTCTGGCAGATACGCTGCAGAACACTGAAGTCAGTCAGGTCATAGGCTAGTAATTCATACTGCAACTTGAAAAGTTGGTGGCAGCCCCCTGATTTACTGGACAGAGAAAAGGAAATGTATTCCAAGATGGACTGGGTTCTTATTATGAGGAACCATTGTTGCTAGAGAAAAAGCTGAGAACAGCCTATAAACTTAAGGATGGGGGCAACATGCAAATAAACCAAGGTCTTTAATTCCAAGTGGCAACCCAGTTCATTTAAGCAAGCCAGAACTACACATGCTTGGTTACAGCAGCCTCCTCAATAATGCAGCTCAGCTGCTATGACCATAAAAGACAATGCTTCAACAATTCTTGCTGGCAGAGTACCTCCAAGTGAGCTCAACCATCTCAGATTAAAGGAAGAAAACCAAAAAAACACCTTTACTACTGAGGCAGGGAGAATGATTCCCCATTTTTCAAAAGGAAGATCTGCTAGCCCCAGGAAGTCTTAACTACTAACAGTGCTGACAAAGCAAGCTGAACATAAAGTGTGAAATACGAAAAACCCTGTGTGCCATTATTTCACAAAGCAGGAAGTCTAGCTTCGTAGTGCCAGCATTAGCAGCTGAAGAACACCAGACTTCGCCTCACCTTTTTCTTACAGATTCTGATAAATTGTATGTTCCAGAAGGGACCTGCAGCAGCAGCTGACCTGAACTACCAAGACGTGATGTGTTCATGCTCTCTGGGCTGCCAGTAACAGGACCACGTACTTTACTCTGAAGAAAACACAGAATATTCAGACTGCAATTATTTCAACTAGTTTTCAGCAGCTAGGAATGTGAAATAACTGGAACTTGGCTTTAATACTAATTCAAAATAAAGAAAAGAACCACAGGACACTCAATTTACTGTTATTTCAGTAACCTGTGCTATAAACCATATTCTCAGGTTAAAGTGGAGTTTTTATTTTACTTACACAAGCAATTTTCAGCAAGTTCCACAGTTCTTTCTGTCGTTTCTCCTGAAGCCTAACAACTGTTTCCTCATCTTCACTCATCAGATTCATCACTTTCTCCACTCTGGGGAATAATTCCAATGCCTTCTGTTTGCAAACTACAGTTTTACTATTAAAAAAGTAAAAACTAATCAGATCACACGTGGGCCACTGCAGTCGGAGAACATTTCTGAATTTACTTATTTCCTGTAACACTGCAAGATCTCATTAGCTGTTATGTATTGAGTTTTAAACCTTCTCTTGCTGGAAGAGAAAATGCCTTCTCTCAACTCTGAATAGAATCTACAAAGCTCACCTGAGCTGAGCATAAATGACTCGAACTTTTTTTTCAAAGGTCTGGATTGCCTGGAGGAGCAGTCGTACTATTTCCTGGCTGTCACCGCTTGTCCTCTGATCTGGAATGAGAGCCAATATTACACAGAAAGGTAGATTTATAGGAGAGAGTGAGAAGATTCTTAGTGGATTATTTCCATACTGCTTCAATCCTGAGACATCCAGAACTGAGGATATTCAAGTTTGAGTGGGATGAATTACACTGATTTTTAGCCACCTTCTTCAAAATTTAAAGAACTTGAAATGGAGAGTTGGGACTGTATCAAAGGAATGGCCATGTCTTTCATCCTTCCTACAAAGAAGTGGCAACATATACGTGTGGCAACAGCCTGCTCTGAGAAAAGCTCCAGAGGAGTTTGGAGAACAGCTTACAAAGCACCAAGACAGGAAGGCTGGCCTGGTGTGAAACTGACTCCCTGACTCCCCTCTCAAAAAAAAGGCAAGTTCAGGAGAGTCCATGTGCTGCTAGTGTCCGGGCAGGCCTAGAAGGGAGGTAATGATCATTTTAAAAACTACTACATCTCCAAAGTTACTATCCACACAAGTAAAGCTGACCTTGAGCTAAAGTGTCTTTTACCTCTTGGCTTCTCTCTCAGTCTTCGGTACAGCTCTCTGGCTTGTTCTTCCCTAGATGAAAAAAGCACGAAAAAACAAAGGATTTCCAAAGAACCAAAATTAAGAACAAATAGTTTGAGAACTCAAATCTTTTCTATACCTCTCTGCCATTTCAGACCAATGACAGATGAGTCAAAAACCATCTTCAGTTAAAGTCCTCCCACCCCCCCATAATTTGGGTGGAAGAAACAGCCCTTTCATTGTCCCGTGGTGAGTAAGCTTAGCTAGAAATACTCCTGCATCTGAAGCTCAAGGTAGTTCAACTCACAAATCCTCCAATGTTCCTCCTTGTTTACGACCTAGTGGGCTTCTCTGCAGGTCCACAATGTCTGTCTGAAGGGCCATCATCCTCTTCACTAGCTGGTCCACATCATCCTCCTGAAAGCAGGGTAGAACATAAGCAACAGAACATTCTCATACTTAGAGACACTACCACTCACATTCGTTCTTCCTTTCTCATTCAGAGTTTGAAACACACCAGCAAGGTGCAAACAGCAGCCTTGGCCAAGACAAATGAGAAATATGAGTCATTTAAATTCAAGGAAATTAGGTCGGTGCTCTTGGATAAAACAACTTCCAAGACATTTATGGCATTTCCCCAAGATCTCCCTTTTTACCCTGAGCCTTACAACAGAGTAAGCTTCATGTAGTAATGGACAAAAATGGTGCCACACAAACCAAGGTAATGTGAAATCTGGAATCAGTCCAGACACAAGGAGTTTCTATTTAAGGAAGGGACAATGAAGAAAAAGGGGGAGGAGGGGAGAGATAATAAAAACAAGCCTCTTTTTCTTTATGACAGGCAGTTAGATTTAGAAACATACCCGCCCACAAAGTTCCACAGCTTGCTCCATCTCTTTCCAGGCAAACAGCAGCTTCTCAGAAGCTACAGGAATCAAAGAAGAGTGATTGGCTTTCTCAGGTTCACAGAGAAAGAGGTAGGTGTTTTTGTGAAGATAAGAGGCATGAAAAGACCTGTTTGCCAGATGCTATACTCACTAATTCCAAATTCAATCTGCTCTTTATACTTTTCCAGATCGATCTGGATGCTTGTTTTAAAGAAGTCCAGCTTTGCTTTCAGCTGCTGAGAAAGGGAGGCCATAGAATTCTTCATCTTCGAGAGGGTACTATTGTAACGCAACAGATTCATCCTGTATGGACAAGAAAGTCCGATTAGCCTCCGAAACGAAAAATTCACCAGGCTTCCACTTACATCCGAAGTAGATACTTGAGATAGCAGTGAGGACAAATGTAGTTGTGCTAAAGGCCTCTCAGCTTTTCATTAATTGCTTACAGCTCCAATAGTGGGCTTCCCCACTCCAACAGGGTCCCATTTCTGTCTTCCCTTTCACCAGTGCACAAAGACAGAGATAAGTATTCTAGAGAAACTGCCACCGTACATGGCTGCTCGCTGCCCCTGCTGAAGCCGGTTACAATCCTCTTTCAGCATCCGTATTGTGTGCCAGATCTGACCCCACACCTTCCGCAACTGGAAAAAGTGGAGATTCTTCTTTGGATCCTGAACTGAAAATGAAGAAGGTGGGGGAAAGGGAAATGTACATATCAACACGAAGCAGGAAAGTTGTGTTATCACAAAACAGACCAAGATATTGCTCCTTTGAGGGCACGTTACCACCTGCAAAGCCTAGAGCTGAATAACCCTGTGCAGTTCCCCCAGTATATCAAAATCAAAC